TTTGAAATGTCCTGCTTTGACCAGTGGTAGTTCCTTCTAGCTGACTCATGTCTCATGCTTCCTTTTAGTACTTATTTTCTAGCTCGAGAAGATATTCCAGGCTTATCCTGCACTTTCTATGCACCAGCCCTACGATCAGCCATTTCTCCAAGGAGCCCTGGTTCTTTCAGTGGAGAATGGTATTTCGCAACCACAGTGTAGCTGCTAGCTGAGTGCTTGTTTTTTTATTACTTGTTCTCAGTGGACACACACACACACACACACACACACACAATTTTAGTTTCATTTTAAAAGATATTTAAGGACTACATGCAAAAATCTTATATCTGTCTCCATAGTAATGTAGCCTCCCCCCCCCCCCCCCAGTTAGTTAGCAGTTAGAATGAAGAAATTATATAAAAACTACTTAACTGTCATCTGTCTATAATATCTTTTTAAAATTTTATTGACTGGAATGATCAGAAAGGCAGTGTTGATCAGTGGAAAGAGCACCCTATCAACCTTTCCTCACACTGCCTGCTTTGGGCATGTTAACGTAACCCTTCCCTGGTTAGAAAGCAGTGATAACATGCAGGGATTAGAAAACGAACACATGAAAAATACACATTGTAGTTGCTCAATTAACTATTGATTTCTGATCTCCCTGTGCATTTTTCTTTCTTCTTTCCCATTTCTCTGGTTTTTGTCACTGGTCAAAAGGTTGAAAATTGTTGTATTACTAAATTATAAATATTATCTAGGGGTTTGAGAAAAGTGAACTTTAATTTTTAGTTCAGAATGGGGAGCATATGTAACTCATTGAAACCCACAGTTTGGCTCTTTGGATTGGATTTCTGTTTGTGATGGGATCACATGCCTGCTCTGAGGTCAAGGGGAGTTGCTGATTGCAGATGAACCTTACTCTCTAGACCTCATGTGCGTTGCCCAGTCATCTGTAATTAGAACAAACTGATTACTGGTAAAATGTGAGATTTAGAGATGGAGATATGATCAAAGTGTAGGGTTCTATATTCTTCCTAAACACTAAGAAAAATAGCAACCACTTAAAAAAATTTTAACAGCTTTATTGAGACATAATTCACATGCTACACAATTCATCCATTTTAAGTGTACATTCAGTGGTTTTTAGTGTATCAGAGTTGTGCAGTCATCGCCACAAACAATTTTAGAACATTTTCATCACCCCAGAAAGAAACCATGTACCCATTAGCAGTTACTCCCCAGCTCCTGTCCTTGCAGGTGCTGGCAACCACTAATCTACTTTCTGTCTCTATGGATTTGCCTATTCTGGACATTTCATATAAATGAAATCATAAAAAGTGTGGCCTTTTGTGACTGCTGCTTTCATTTAGCATAATGTATTTGAGGTCTATCCATGTTATAGGAATAAATGTAATTCAGGCATACCTCAGATTTTGCAGGTTCAGTTCCAGACCTCTACAATAAAGTGGTTATCATTAAAATAAGACAAAAATTAAGCTTGCCACATAGTTTGACTTTTCCTCTTACAAACTATTTCTCTGTAGCATGAGATGCTGTTTGATAGCATTTTACCCACAGTAGAACTTTCAAAATTTGGAGTCAGTTTTCCTAAACCCTGCCACTGCTTTAAACTAAGTTTACGAAATATTCTAAATCCTTTCTTGCATTTCAACAGTCTTTACAGCATTTTTACCAGGAGTAGATTCCATCGCAAGAAACACCTTTCTTTGCTCATTCATAAGAAACAACTCCTCATCAATTAGTTTTATCATGAGATTTCAGTAATTCCATCATAAGCTTCAGGCTCCGTTTCTAATTCTATGTCTCTTGCTATTTCTACCACATCTGCTGTTACTTCTTCCACTGAAGTCTTGAACCCTTCAAAGTCATCTGTAACGGTTCAATCAGCTTCTTTCAAACTATTGTTAATGTAGATATTTTGACCTCTTTTCATGAATCACAAATGGCATCTAGAATGGTGAATTCTTTCCAGAGGGTTTTCTGTTTCCTTTGCCCAGATCCATCAAAGTAATCTCTTATCTATGGCAGATATAACCTTACATAATGCATTTCTTAAATAATAAGACTTGAAAGTTGAAATTGCTTCTTTATTCAAGGGTTACAGAATGGATATTGTGTCAGAAGGCATGAAAACATTAATTTTACTGTACATTTCCATCAGAGCTCCTGGATGACCAGGTGTATTGTTAATGAGCAGTAATATTTTGAAAGGAATTTTTATCTGTGCAGTATGTCTCTATAGTAGGCTTACCATATTCAGTAAACCATGTTGTATAAAGATGTGCTGTCATCCAGGCTTTGTTGTTCCATTTATAGAGGACTGTAAATATTTCTCTCTTCTCCGTGTCCAGCGCAGGTAGAGAGTGGTCCGATTCCTGAGTAGGGGCGGCTGGGGATTGAGAAAATGAAAGAAAGAGACAGACACAGAGATGGAAGGAAAAAGCTGGGGCCTGGTGGGCCCACTGTCCTCTGATGGAGAGACAGGGACCCAGAGCCAATAGAGCGTGTTTATTTTATACAGCAAAAAACAGGAAGTTTTATGAAAAGTCAAGACAAAGGAGATTATTTGCATTCTTGGGTGGACCCAAATCATATTCATTCCTGGTGCTTGGCTGGATTTAAAGAACAAAACCTACCCCCTGACACCTGGGCTGAAGGTCAAGCTAACAACACTCCTGCCTCTGGCAAAGTGTGTTTCCAGGATGTGGTTTTGCCAACGCCACTGGGTTCAGCTGACAATAATTAAAGAAATGCCCATGTGCCTTCTCAGGTGCTCTCTACAGAGGACAGTCAAAGTAGATGTAGCATAATTCTTTTAAATATATTTTATTGATTTTTATAGAGAGTTAGAAACATTGATGAGAGAGAAACATTGATCAGCTGCCTCCTGCATGCTCCACACTGGTGATTGAGCCTACAACCCGTGCATGTGCCCTTGACTGGAATCAAACCCAGGACCCTTCAGTCCACAGGCTGATGCTGTATCCACTGAGCCAAACCAGCTAGGGCTAAAGCATAATTCTTAAGGGCCCTAGGATTTTCGGAATGATAAATGATCATTGGCTTCAACAAAGTCATCCAGCTACATTGGTTCCTAACAAGAGAGTGAGCCTGTCTTTTGAAACCAGGCATTGACTTCTCTCTAGTTAATGATGCCTAGATGGCATCTTTTTCCAATATAAGGCTGTTTCGTCTACATTGAAATCTGTTGGTTAGTAAATAGCCACCTTCGCTAGTTAGTTTAGCTTCTGGATAACTTGCTATAGCTTCTACATTAGCATTTGCTGCTTCACCTTGTACTTTTATATTATGGAGATAGCTTCTTTCCTTAAACATCATGAACCAACTCCTGCTAACTTCCATTGTTCAATTTTTTAAATGGAATTTACTGGCGGTGACATTGGTTAATTCAATTACATAGGTTTCAGGTGTACAATTCGATGATACATCATCTGTATATTGTTGTGTACACCATGCCAAGTCAAGTCTCATTCCATCACCATTTATCCCCCTTACACCCTCTTATACCTCCTCCTAACTTCCCTTTAACTTCCAAGTTTTCTTCTGCAGCTTCCTCACTTCTCTCAGCCTTCATAGAACTGAAGATTTGGGGCCTGGCTCTGGATTAGGCTTTGGCTTAAGGAATGTTGTGGCTAGTTTGATCTTCTATCCAGACCATTAAAACTTTCTCCATTTCAGCAGTAAGGCTATTTTGCTTTCTTATAATTCGTGTGTTCACTGGAGTAGCACTTTTAATTTCCTTCAAGAATTTTTTCTTTGCATTCACAAGTTGGCTGTATGGCTAAAGAGGCCTGTCTTGGCTGTCAGCATGCCTTCCTCACTAAGCTTAATCATTTCTAGCTTTTGATTTAAAGTGAGAGATATGTGACTCTTCCTTTCACATGAACACTTAGAGGCCATTGTAGGGTTATTGATTGGCTAATTTCAATACTATTGTGTCTCTGGGACTAGGAAGGCCCACAGAAAGGAAGAGGGGGTTATGGCTGGTCAGTAGGTGTTCATGGTGTCCCAAAACAAGTACAAAAGCAACATCAAAGATCACTGTTAACAAATCACCATAACAAATCTATATATATTCTCTCTCTCTCTATATATAAAAGGCTAATATGCAAAGTGTCTCCTTGGGAGTTTGACCGGGAGTTTGATCGCTTGCTATGATGTGCACTGACCACCTGGGGGCGGCACAGACGTAGGAAGGCTCCAGCAGGCAGCCGGCAGCCGGCAGCCAGCACCAGGAAGGCCCCAATCAGCCCTGATAGCCAGCCAGGCTTAGGGACCCTACCCATGCAGGAATTTCGTGCACCGGGCCTCTAGTGTAATAATAATAATAATAATAATAATAAAGTTTGAAATATTATGAGAATTACCAAAATGTCGTATAGAAACACAAAGTGAACAAATGCTGTTGGGAAAATGGTGCTGGTAGACTTGCTCTACCTTTTTTATTTTAGCTCTCAGTTGGTGCAAAGTGGTATTTCATTGTGGTTTTGATTTGCATTCTCCTAATGGCTACTGATATTGAGCATCTATTTATGTGTTAACTGGCCATTTGTATATCTTTGGAGAAATATCTATTCAGATCTCAGCCATTTTATTTATTCTCACCTGAGGATACTTTTTTCATTGATTTTTAGAGAGAGTGAATGAGGGGAGGGTTCCCTGTCTCCCTCACATGCCCAAACTGGGGGGCTGGAGATCGAACCTACAACCCAGATACATGCCCTTGACCAGGAATTGAACCCGTGACCCTTTGGTCTGAGGGCCAATGTTCTAACCACTGAGAACACTGGCCATTTTTAAATTGCATTGTCTTTTTATTATTCAGTTGTAATGGTTCTTTTAACAACCACTTTTTGAGAGCCTAGTGTGGACCAGGACCTTGCTAGGTGCTTCACATGTACTTCTTTGTTTAATCTTCATAAAAGCCCCAAATGGTAGGTTTATATCTTTTTTTTTTTTTTTTTTTTTTTTTTTACACTTGTAGGGTGCTTGTGCACAGGAAGGCCACATGTTTTGTGACCCTTGTCACAGTGACCCCAGTTCCTGTTGGGTGTGTTGTAAACAGAGGAGCCATTTCTTCAGGCGCCCTGCTCTGAGCACACCCCCTAGGTTTATATCTTATTTACAGATGAGGAAATTCATGATCAGAGTTAAAACAACTTACCTAAGAGAGTTTCAAGTGGTAGCAGTCAAGATTCTAACCTTTATATGAGTTTAAAGTTCCTGTTTTGTTGGCTATTCTGTGCTTCTGATCTTTGACATTGTTGAAACAGTGCCCGTATTCTAGGGCTTAGAATGAAAATTTTCAGGAAGCATAGAGGGAATTCATACACCAAATAATCTTCAAAGTCCCTTCCAATATTTTATGTACTGTATTTATCTCAGGAAACTTGTGTATAAACCAAATTAAAAGACAACCAGAATTTAGTTACTGCTAAAAGAACTTCGTATAGAATGAAATCATGAGGAGCATTCTTCTGTAATATGAGTAATATCTTTTCTGAGTTTGTTTAAATTATTATATTCAGTGTCAGGGCACATATCAATAAATTGTAAGGTATAGGGATTTTCAAAAAATATTGATAAAACATTTTATATATTAACTCTTTTTCTAAGCTGGTTGAAAAGATGGTTAATCATTAGCTTGATATGCTTTTCAAAACAAGATAAAGAGATATCTGTGACCTGTTGGAACTTGTTGTCTGGACTCTGCCCCACAAAGAATCAAGATACTTTTTAGATATAGCTTTGGCCCAGCACCGCTCTGCCCCTCTTCCTTTCACTCCGTCGCTAGTGAGTGATACAGAAAGTCAAGGCACCGTTATGACTCAGGTGAGAAATCCGAAACAAGAGAAAATGGTGTTGCAGATGACCTGGATGCTCCCAAGTCAAAAAAAAAGCTAAAATGAAAGAGAAGCTAAATGGAGACACTGAAGAAGGACATAACAGACTTTCAAATGAATTTTCCAAGTCTCATAAGAAGAAAAGATCTGTCAAATGGAGATATTGATGAATATGAAAAAAATCAAAGCGAGTGTCATCCTTTGATAGTTCTACTCATAAGTCAAGTGATAATAAACTAGAGGAGGATGTCCAGTGTTTACATCCCCATTGCACAGTTACAGAGAGAAATTACCTGAAAAGGCTTCAGAGAAGGTAGTTTTAAAGTTTTGGTGGCAACCAGTGTGGCTGCCCATGGTTTGTTCACTCCTGAGGCTGACTTGGTGATTCAGAGTTCTCCTCCACAGGATGTTAACTCCTATGTTCATTGCTCTGGACGCACAGGTGGAGCTGGCCAGACAGGGATTTGCATATGTTTTTATCAACCAAGAGAAAGAGGTCAACTAAGATACATGGAACAAAAAGTAGGAATTACTTTTAAACATGTAGGTGTTCCTTCTACAGTGGATTTAGTTAAATCTAAAACCATGGATGCCATTAGGTCTCTGGCTTCAGTTTCTTATACTGTTGTTGACTTTTTTCCAACCATCAGCTCAGAGATAAGAGAAAGGGGCTGTGGATGCAGTGGCTGCAGCATTAGTCCATATCTCCAGTGCCTTGAGTTTTAAACTACGATCTTTGATTACCTCTGATAAGGGGTTTGTGACCATGACTCTGGAAAGCCCAGAAGAAATACAGGGTGTTAGCTGCGCTTGGAAAGAACTTAACAAAAAGCTGAGTAGTAATGCTTTGTCCCAAATTACCAGAATGTGTCTTCTAAAAGGAAATATAGGTGTTTGCTTTGATGTTCCCACAACTGAGTCAGAAAGGTTACAGGCAGAGTGGCATGATTCAGACTGGATAACCTCAGTGTCCCAAGTTACCCAAAATGGAAAAATATTATGATGGAAATGCAGCTTTTAATTCTAGACAGAGGAGTGGCTGGCCAGGTGGCCGGGATGTCAGTCAGGTAGACAGTCGACGGGAGTCGGTCAGGAAGTCAAGCAGATGGTAGAAGACAAAGTGGAGATAGAAATCAATCAAGAAGCAGGGGCCACAAAGGGAGTTTTGACTGAGAATTTAATAGCTAATGTACAAGTGTGTGCTTCACTATTTCTGCCTAATCATGTACATTATCCACCAAAAACTAGGTCATCATAGTTGCGGTATGTGTCTGCTATTTGCAAAGAAGTTGATTGTATTTAAAAAAACATATTTCACAAAAATGGATATAAACAAATCAACTTATCCAGTTAACCTTTGAATAATAAAACCTTTTTTTAAATACATATTTTTATTGATTTCAGAGAGGAAGGGAGAAGAAGCGAGAGATAGAAACGTCAATAATGAGAGGGAATCATTGATGGGCTGCCTCCTGCATGCTCCGCACTGGTGATTGAGCCTGCAACCCGGCATGTGCCCTGACTGGGAATTGAGCTGTCACCTCCTGGTTCATAGGTCAGTGCTCAACCACTGAGCCATGCTGGCCAGGCAATAAAACTTTTTATTGTCTATTTTTTAAGAAAAGATATTTTGTACACTGAAAAGTGCTACTAATATGAGTTATTACTTTGTCATGTACAATTTGGAAGTGGCAAGCTAGAGAAAGGTACAATGATAATTATAAGCTGAAGAGATGCCTGACCAGTGTGGCTTAGTGGTTGAGCGTCAACCTATGAACCAGGAGGTCATGGTTCAATTCCTGGTCAGGGCACATGCCAGGGTTTCGGGCTCAATCCCCAGTAGGTGGCATGCAGGAGGCAGCAGATCAATGATTCTCTCTCATCAATGTTTCTATCTCCCCCTTCCTCTCTGAAATCAATAAAAAAATCCTATATAATAAAAGGGTAATATGCAAATTTACCCTAACAGTGGAATGACCTGGAATGACCAGTCGCTATGACATGCACTGATCACCAGGGGGCAGACATTCAATGCAGGAGCTGCCCCTTGGTGATCAGTGTGCTCCAACTCGGGGAACTCCACTCAGCCACATGCCGGGCTGATGGCTGCGAGCGCAGTGGTGCTGGCGGGAGCTTCTGCTGCCTCCTCAACAGTGCTAAGGATGTCCGACTGGCGGCTTAGGCTGTGGGGAGTGGGCCTACGCCATCAGCCGGACATCCCCCGAGGGTTCCCAGGCTGCCAGAGGGATGTCTGACTGCCATCTTAGGCCTGATCCCCCAGCCTAAGTCAGGGCACATGCTGGGTTGCAGGTTCAATCCCCAGTGCAGGACATGCAGGTAGACATCCCCCGAGGAGTCCTGGACTGCGAGAGGGCACAGGCTGGGCTGCGGGACTACCTTGAGTGCACAAATTTTCATGCACCAGGCCTCTAGTCCACCGGTTGCCAACCAGTGGTCCGCAGACCAGTGGTGGTCCATGAGGTCCAAAAGGTTGGCGACTGCTGTTCTAGTCTATAATAATAAAAGTGTAATATGCTAATTAGACCAGACGTCCTTCCGGACGACCTTCTGGACGAAACTGGGGATGTGAGGGAAGCCCGGGTATCAGGTGCCTGCCAGTGGCTGGAGGGAAGCCCGGGTCCTGGGTGTCAGAGGGAAGCCGGTGCTGGCAGCCGGGGGGGGGGAGGGGTAGGGGGAGGAAGGCCTACTCTTGCACGAATTTCATGCATCAGGCCTCTAATATATATATATGCTGAAGAGTTGAATTAATGAAATGAAATTGGCCTGTGGAGGACTAGTCATAGCCATTTGATTTTAGGTCACTCATTCAGACTTTTGACAGAGAAGATGGTGACCATAGACAATTCTGCTCCAAATGGAACAGGAAAAAATTAGGATTTAGGTAAAGGAGAATTCAGTGTAATTTCTGTTTCATTTAGTCACTATTTACTGAATACCTATTGTGTGCCAAGAACTGGGGATATAATTTTTTTTTTTTAAAGACGTGGTATCTTCTCTTGAGAAGCTGACATTTAGTAGGGATTCACAGCAAAGTAGTTTCTCAGCCAAGGTCTTGAAGGATAAAAAGGAGTTTGCCAAGACAGAAGTATTCCAGACATAGGGAGCAGCGCTGGCAAAGGCATGAAAGCGTGAAGTAGCATTCCACACTCTGAGAGCTGCACACGTTTCAGCATGGCAGGAGCTTAGGTTCCATGCCTTGTTCATGACTTGAATAAGATTCCTCTGGTAGGCTGGCTTTCAACTTCTTAGACTTCCCATACCCACTCTTTCATCCTCATTCTCAGCTGATTACTTTGTTGCGAAATCCTAAGCCATTAGACCCAAACTTCCTCATCTCCCATCTCAAGATCTGTAACCCTGTGGAGAGCCACACCCACCTGATCCTCTTCCCTTAAGTCTCCTCCTTTTCCTACATCTCATTCCCCTGCCACCTCAAGACTTCCCTCCTTGTAGCTCCTTTCCCTGGTTCATTACCATCGTCAGGCTAACATGCTCAGTATGTTAACCTTAAAACAAAAACAAACTTTTTGATACTATACTCCTCTCCAAAGACCACTCCATTTCATTGTTCCCCTAAAAGTAATGTCTCAAAAGAGCCACACTGTCTCTTTCCCTCTTCTATTCACTCTTTAATTCACTATAATCTGACTTCTACCTTCCACCACTGACTTAAAATTGCCTTTGTCCAAGTCACCTGTGCTCTCCATGTTGCCAAATCCTGAAGGTGCTGGACATAGTTTACTCCTCCCTCCAGATTCTTCCTGCCCCGTCAGCTTGTGTGACACCGTGCTCTACTGGTTTTCTTCTTGCATCACTGGCTCTGCTTCCCTTCTCTCCCAGACTTCTAGATAAGGGAGTTCTGGTGTTGTCCTGGGCTCTCTTCGTTCTCCCTTGTTCTCTCAAGAGGAGCTTATCAGTTTCCATGGATTTAAATATGTTCATTATGTTGATGATTATCTCCATTTTCTCTCCAGCCTGGACCTCTCTCCTCTGAGCTCCAGACTCTCATGTCCAACTGCCTTCTTGTCTCAGAAACATCTCATACTTAATGCACCTAAAATGGAACTCAGTCCCTCGTATTTCCTTTTATCAATAACTGGCATTGCTATTCTGAATCATCCTTGCCCTTTCCCCTACCACTTAGGTTTCCCTCATTCTAGCTGGATTCCAAAATTTATTTTGAATCCACTTCCTTCTCTCCATCTCCACTGGCCACCTGCCTCCACTGTAGTCCAGACCAT